TTATCTGTTGAGTCAGTAGCCTGAGGAGCCCTTGTGGCCAAATTGCAGTCTCAAGTTCAAGTTTAATCATTGTCATGTCCCTTGGCAAAAGTATCCCTACTTTTGCAATTAATAACTCTAGACCAGTGGTTCTCAAATGGGGATGATTTTGCCCCCCAGAAAGCATGTGGCAATGTCTGTAGAGATTTCTGGTTTCACAGCTGGGGAAGGAGTACTACTGGCATCTAGTGGGAAGAGGCCAAGGATGCGGCTAAACATCCCATTATGCACAAGGCTGTCCCTGCAACAAAAAATTATCAAGCCCAAATGTTAACGATGCTGAGGTTGAAAAAACCCTGCTCTTGTTCACCGGAGCCCAAAGTTTGGGGTATGGGGAGCAAAAATTTCCCTACAGTATCACCAGGGATAATAAGGAGAGTTCTAGTCCCATTTCTATGGCTTGATTCCCAGATTCATGAATCCTACATATGGGAGAAACGATACCACATATTGATTGCTGATTTGGAGCATATGTCTACAAGGTATCTACTTTGTACCTACCTAGTACTGTAACTGAGTCCACAAGAGGTCGATCCACTTTATCATGCCAGTTACTTTCTTTTTTAAAAAACCATGGTAAAAGATATATAACATAAAATTTGCCATTTTAACCATTTTAAGTTGCAATTCAGTGGCATTAATCACATTCACACTATTGTGAAATTATCACCATCTCTTTCCATACTTTTTCATCATCCCTTATAGAAACTCTGTAATCATTAAGCAATAACTCCCCATTCCCATCTCCCGCAGCCTGATGACCTCCAATCTATTATCTGTCTCTGTGAATTTGCCCATTCTAGGTATCTCATGTTGTAGCATATGTCAGAACTTCATACCTCTTTATGGGTGAAAAGTATTCCATTTTATACACACACACACACACACACACATATCTATCTCACATTTTGTTTATCCATTCATCAGTTGATGCACGCCTGCTCTGTTTCCTGTTTCTATCGGCTTTTGTGAATGACACTGTAATGAATATGAGTGTGCAAATAACTGCCAGCACCCCTGTTTTCAATTCTTTTGGCTATATACCCAGGAGTAGAATTGCTGGGTCATGATAATTCTATGTTTAGGTCAGCTTTATAATTACTGAAAGATCACTGATCTATTGCTGCCTAAAGAATCATCCCAATACTTTGTGGTTTAAAGCATAAGCATTTATCCTATATTCCCTATATTCTCTGTGGGTCAGGAATCGAGGAGTTACTTCGCTGGGCAGTTCTGTCCCCCAGTCTCTCATGAATTTGCAGCCAAAACGTCTTCTAGATTGACTCATGATGGAAGATCAGCTTCCAAGGTGGCTCACTCTCATGGCTGGCTTTGCACAGGCTGTGTGAGTGCTTGTGACATGGTAACTGACCTCCTTTCAAGCAAGTGATTCAAGAGAGTAAGGAAAAAAACTGCCATGCCTTTTATGCCCTGTCCTAAGCAGTCAGATGCCATCATTTTCGCCACAATGTATTTGTGAGAAGTGGGTCACTAAATCCAGTCCACATTTAAGGAGAGGGGAATAGGCTCCACATTTTGAAGCTGGAGTGAAGAATTTGTAAACATATTTTAAAACTACTACCCCATCAAACATTGGGTTTTAATTTTAGTATCATGTTTCTAATTTCTAAAAGCTCTCTTTGGTTCTTTTTCAATTCTTATGTCACTTTTTATAGTTTCCTTATCAGTTAGATATTGCTGTTTAATAAACTACTTTAAAACGCAGTGGCAGCCACCATTTATTTAGCTCATGATGCAATGCTGTTCAGCAATTTGGACTGGAATCATCTGAGAAGTTCTTCAGTTGTCCACTGGGGTCCATCATGTGTCCAGTGTGGTCGGCTGTGTGTTGGCTAGGTGGCTTTGTTTTGAGGGTTTTGCTGGCTGTTGACTGGGTGCTTTCCTCGTTTTGTCTTATCCTCCACATGTCTCTCCCCTGTCTTCAGCAGGATAGCCTGGGCTTGTTCTCCTGGAGGAGACAGGAGTTCAAGAGAGAGCATACACGTACAAGGCCTCTTGATGCCTAGGCTTGGAGTTGGCAGGCTTTTTCTGCTGCCTTCTAGGAGCCAAAATAAATAATCAATTCAACCCACATTAAAGAGAAGGTGAAATAGACTCTACTTCTTGATGGGAGGAACTGCTAAGTCCTGTTGCAAATGATGTGGCTGTAGGAAAGGGTGGAGAACTGGGACCATATTTGAAATCAAGCTACCACAAACATATGTAGCTTTTTTTAAAATTAAAGTATCTTATGAAGGTTTCACATGAACAACATCGTGGTTTCAACATTCACCCATATTATCAAGTCCTTACCCCCCATTGCAGTCACTGTCTATCAGTGTAGTAAGATGCTATAGGGTCAACATATGTAGCTTTTTATAGTTTTATATATTAGCCTGAAAAGGCTAGTATCTGATGCCTTTGCAAATCAGTTTTTCTTGTTCAATGTTTTTGCTGGTTTTTTATTTACCACTTTAGTTTCTTTTTGTAGCCTAGTCATCCTTTTCTGCATGGTGGACATTTTATATGAAAAAGTAAGTATGGTAGCAGTTGAGCACAATACAACACTTTCCTCCAAAGAGGGAGTACTACCATAATTCAATTCAAGTTTTTTCTCAATTTTTAGTAGTGATGCATGTACAAAAGAAGGTGATTACCTATCACACAAACAACAGGGGAATGTACAACTTCCCTTGAGAAGATGTTTGGCTTCAAATAACTTGTCTGTGAAGTGGACCCTGATTCACACCAGAAATCAAACAGCTGCTCACTTATAAATGTATCACGTTCTCTGCTGCTGGCCCAACCACGTGCCTTTCTTTCCACTATTCCCTTATACTGGCATTCATTAAGCAAAACCAAAAAATTCCCAGTTTTCCAAATGTGTGCTCTGTTTGCCTGCCTTGATACAATTTTCTCCACTTGGGATGCCCATTTACCCCTAACTTCATTTCTTTCTTGGAAATTGCCTCAAGAGCAATCTCAAAAATACAACTTTCAAGAAGCCATCCCATCCAATGTGCTTTTTTCTCTTCTGAATTCTCTTAGCACTTGGTTGAGTTTTTTTTTTTTTTTTT